CACCCACTAGCTCCTGATCACGAATGAAAGGTCCCAGCTCTGACCTTCCCACCACCAACTGCATCCCAAGTCACACACAGCCTAGAGGTTTTATCCTCTTAATTGGGGTTTGAATCACACCTTCAGAAGCCCGAAACTGTTTCCTAGCAAAACCTGTCCTGACAGCTTTACCGCCCTATGCAAGTTCAGATCGGTGCTTTGGAATTGGCAAGACAGCTAATCACCTGCTTGAAAACATGTCTGTGCACTCCACACCCACATCATTACATCATACAATGTCCAAAATCTCATGATGGAGAAGATCTCCATGTTGTTTCTGTGCAAACACCCTGAGCATCACTGGCAAAACCCTGTCTACCTGCTTCTGCTGCCAGGCCAGCATGCAGAGCACTCAGCCCAGCAGAGAACGGCATCTTCTGTGGGCTCCCAGGCACTAGTCTTCCAGCACAAGCAGTGGATACTTAGTGGTTTCAGCTAGCAAGACTCAGGGGTAGCAAATAACTCCAGGTAACTCCAACTCTGTAACTTCTGGAAGATCTAGGGAAAAAGATCCAAAGCAAACCATAAAATTAAGTGGTGAAAGACCTATTGTAATGTATTTCCAATGATGCATTCATTCTCAGTTTCTAACTGCACCTGATGGTCCATATATTTCAGTAGGAAACAATGCGGTATGAAACACATTGACAGAAATGTGCAGCTAATTATTTACCATGTGAGTTTTCCCTTGAAAATGGCAGAAATAGAGCTATTAAATGAAACCATGCTATATATCCAAACAGTCTAAATTCATTCCAGCAAGCTCTGTCTTTCTTTCTTGGGTTCCTTAGCACCAACTCTCATGTGGTAGAAGCCTGTTTTTTATGCTGGTCCTCCAGGAAGCATGAACATCTGGTGGGATGTTTGGTACCTGATTGCAAGCCTCCCAGCTGACAGATCTTCCAGCAGCGTTCTTCAGGTGTCACTTCGGATTTGTCAAGAGTGGCTATGTTAAATTTGCTGAGAGTGGCTGTATTAAATAGCAGAAAAAGCTTGTGTCCATGACTGCAGAAATACAGAAATCTTGAACTGCAGTGAGGTAAGCTACCTGAATCTCTGGTTTTCTTCCTGGCAGAGAAAACAACCCTTGTGGGTTGCATCCATGAGTTCTTTCAGATTCTTGAGTGGGTTTCCTTTGTTTCTGGACATTTTTATAGGTATTCCCCCAATGCACTCACCTTCTGTCTGCAGAATAAATCTGATGCCTTGTAGTAATGTTTCCAAGGGTGCACCTGACCAGGAGAGGGCACAAAGCCTGGTAAGAAGATCCTGGGTACTTGCAAGGCCCCCTGGGCTGGCATGGCTGCACCAACTATGTATTGCTGGGACTAATCTTGTTGCTAGGAAATCCAGGCATCAGGTAGGTAAATCACCAATAGGTGCCAGAGGCATTTGGTTGGAATTACAACTTGCCACACATCATGATCCTGAATCAGATGGGGAAAAGTCCCTCTAGGAAGATATCTGGGATTTGGAAAATGGATGATGCTGGCTTACTAACTCACCCTCTTCCCCAGCTTATGGATCTTACTTATATTCTGTTGTGCTGGCAAGCTCTGTGCTGTCAATCATGACATCCCTGACAGCAAAGCTGCCTCCTACTCCCACCCCTGCACACACCAGTGCTCACCTGCCCTGGCACACTGCAGAAAAGTGCTGGATGATCCATTTTTAAGGCAAAATATAAAAGCTTTGGCTAATAAGTTTGTGAGTCCATCTGCCAAGGGGAGGCTTTCTCAATAACTTTTGAGCCTGGAATTATGACAACATAACACCATCATGTATTCATCCTCCACCTGAACAACTTGCTGCTTGTGCTTGATCTCTGGTGATGGTTCACATGCCAATCTCAAAAAACAATCCTCATGATACAATACATTTGGGTAACAGCCTGCCCAGTATCAACCACAAAATGTCTAGAAGTATGGGCAGTACCCTGCAGCTCTGACAGCCAGATTAGAGGAGGCTGTATCTGGGGCCGTTCCTTCAGCAAATGAACAGTGATTTCTTTTAATATATACTGGGATATAAGCGTCAGTCATTGCAGTCATGTAGGAAGTAAGCTGGCCAGGGAGCAGGGCTTGGCAGTTCCACCCAGGGTAAGCAGACTGCAATAAATACAATACTGCACTTCTTAAATCAGCATAAGGATGCTCGCCTGTGACCTGCACTGAAACGGTTCTTGATGTAACTTAATTTTATGACAGTCAAAAATGGAGAGAAAAGCCAGAAAGAAGAAAGCACTTGTCACTCCCACGAAGGCCAGTTTGAACACACCACCTTACGTGACAGTGAAGCACAGCAAACTGCCTGCCCTTCCCAGACTGAAAATACAGCAGGAACCAACTTCATGTGGGGGCTGTGTGGTGTTGATGAAGGGCAGTTAAGCATCCCTAGAAAATGCCTGCTGTTAACACAAAGCAACGTTATTTCCCAGCTCCCTGTAATAACCTCGTTATTCTTTCTCCATGAATGTTCTGTATTTCTCATCTAAAGAAGAGCAAGAAAATGCAGCCCAGGCCTAGGTAGCTGCTGCTTCGGCACCAGCAGAGCCTCTAGAGAAAACCACCAGCGGCGGAAGGGCTGATCATGCCAGCACCCTGCCACAGTTGCCACTTTCATATCCTCCAGTCCAAATCCAAGGAAGTTTCCTCAAATAGTTCATTTTCTTCAGGCTTGTCCTCTTTCAGCCTTTTACATCTTTGCTTCCCTGTTAAAGGCTTTCCTTCAGCTCCCCAACCTGAACAATCCCTGTTTGCTGAACCAGTGACTAGCGATGACTGTCCATCACTAGTCACTGCCCATTACTAGGACATGTCCAATCCTTCTCGCATATGGGGTGGCTGCCTATCTGCAGCCCAATGTAAGGATTTTGAAGACAAACTTGGCCAGCAATCAAATTTCCTTCCTGTTTATCGCGAATGTAATTCCCAGTTGTTATTGTGAGAGCTGTTGGAAAAGAAAAACCCAACACATGCAGGTGGCAGTTTCAAGGTATGATCAAATGGAACATCCTGCTTGCTGAGCTTTTTCCATGTAATATAAACGTCAAAGTAATAAATAATTCATGAAAGATCACCCTGACAAATCTGAGTATTAGACAATCAAGAGAACATGGAAATTGTGTTTCCATACAGAAAATGTTTAGTATTAGTTCTTCCACCAAGCAGGAGCCATTGGGACTTTCTAGCCTCAGAAAGAGTGAGAATTTGGGGCTCAGGTATTTGGCCCTTAACAGAATAAACACTTCTATCCTGTGCATTTCTGCCTCCTTTATCAGTGCAGTGTTCAAAAGCTATTGGGACTGCTCATGTGAGGAAAGGAGGAAAGGTGGTTCATCCATCCTTAATGATATTCCACCAGAGTAAGACTTTATTGTTTCAGCTGTGGGATTGCATTCAAAGCCCTGTAATTTTCTTCACCTAAATCTGGGAAAGCAACACACGCTCTGCTTGCAAATAGGGATCTGATCCAGTGGAGCCACGTCACTTCCTCTGCAGCAAGCCATTCCACATGGGTGGAAGAGTATCCATTACGTTGTTTAAAGGAAGGGGGGGAAAACATAAAATTTGCTGCAAATGGATGTAACAGAATGCAAGGAAGGTCACAGGGGACACAGGCAGCCTGGGAACGGGCAATTCCACCTCCCTTTGACTTGCTTTCCTTTGTTTCAGGGTGAGAACATTTCACTTGGCTGGCTCTCGGCCAGCTCCCCTGTTATGTCATATCCAGATTACTCAGTGGATAAGGCATTTGGAGTATTACATCAGAGAGATAACACTGGTTTATATAACTTTATATTTTTCTCAGACACCTGCTTCTCCACCTTCCTGAAAAATGTTTATATAAATATTTATATTTTCAGGAATGTGAACTTATTTGTATTAGCCTAAGGATGACAGTCACCTTAACTATAAAATGGTACATGTGGTTGCTGCACAGCTACCTCCACAGTATTGCCTGGGAACTTTTTTCTGCTTTTTACAAACACCACTTCACCAAGACCAGAAGCATGCAGGGGAAGAAATTAGTTCTGGTGAAACACAAATCTAGAGCTGTCTCTCAGCCTTGAGGTAGAAGTGCTAGCCAAAAAGGGAACCAGAAATCACCCTAAAATCCCGGAGGTTACAGCGCTCACCACAGTGTCAGAGCACTGTGTCTGAGGCTTCACTGAAAATCCCAATCGGGCACTGGTTTGTGTCTGTTCCTAATGAAAAATTTCCAAAGGTCTTACTTCCACCTCAAAGTAAAACAGGGAGGATTTTAAAGCTTTTGCTTTGTTTTGAGATGAGAAAACCTTCTTACTATTACACATTTGATCAGGTCAGTATCTCACAGAGGTTGTGTGCTGACATGCTGCCTTTAGCCATCTTATTACTTAATACTGCCAGTTATCAATGCGCCTGAGAAATCTCTTTTGTTTAAACTTCATGGAAGCGAGGGATGAGATACGTTTTTGCAAATAGGTTACTTCAGGTACTTCAGGCAGTGTCAGTCACATGTAATTCATTCATACAAAACACAACCCTTCCCTCTTGCTGCTCATGTATCTCATTGCACATCAATTTCCTTAATTTTGTGAGCAGCTGCTGTGACAAGAGCAGCATTTACAGGAAAGCTGCTCCAGCAACTCCCGTGAAAGGAAGTTTGGCAAGCAGGTACTGGAAAAGGCTCAAGGAAAACTTCAATTGCAACATCTGAGCTTGGAATTGGTGTTCCCGTCCCAGCATCCAGGACTGGTCATGCTGACACGGTTCTTCCCAACCAGCTGCAGGAAAACTGGTGGGGAGTGGGTACCCCATATATCCAGTTTCATTTTCCTTGCATTTTACACATGCAGTGTCAGACCCTGCTAAACCTCTCCCATTCACACAGCCCCCAGGCCTATGCAGACTCCCACCCATGCCCAGGCAGGCCTGCCCCTACCACCCTTGTAGGAGCAAGCCCACAGAACATCCCACCTGCAAAGCATGGGCTATGAAATCCTTCTAGCCCTGAGCCATGACACGTAAGCGTGTGCAGCTGCTGCTTCTTTTCCCAGGCTGCTGTTGGATAAAACAGTAAATCCAGCACTGGCATCCCAGCAACCAGATTTAAAAAAAAAGAAGACAAAGAAAACTAAGCTGCATAGTGCAAGGTATTTACATGGCATAGACTTCCCATTAGTTCAGATTTGCTTAGAAATGACACTGCCAAGTTAATTTTGTGTAACTTGACTCATTGTTCATTCACCATTTTTGCAGCAGCCGTCGCAGCTTGGGAAGATAAACCATGTCACGATGCCCATCACATGTATCTGTTTCCTCCTGGCCAAGGCCATACAGCTCCTGTGTCCCCTTTGGTCCCCAGGCAGGATGACTTGTGAGGGCAGGCTGAATCTGGCACAGCCTACGGTGCTCCTGGCACTGCAGCCACTGAGGCATCCGCATTAGGCATCCCACCACTTCGTCATTTACTTGGTTTTGTTAAATGTTTAAACTGAAAAGTCCATTTATTACCCCAGAAAAACACCAAGGAATTTTTTTCTGATGTACAAGTTCCCTGGCCTTTTCAGTTGAAAGGTCTGTTGGCCAGTTTATTAGCTCTGAAAGCTATCTATGCCTCCAAGACCTCTGCTGACTCGGAGTTACCGTAATACTGGATAATTTGGGTATTAATGCCAAGTTGCAAATGACGTTTGCTCCTCTGGACCGGCTCTCAAAAAGAATGAATGTTTTAGGCCTGAAACTGTGTCTGTGGTCTCATAAAAAAAGCACAGCTCTCCTCATTTTCTATTTCTTTGCCATTAAAGGAATTATTTCATCCTGCCCTTTGCTTGTCCTCTGGTTAAAGTTTGCCTCTCTGGCAAAAGGTTCAGTGGGCTATAATGGCACAACTCAAAGTTGGAGACTTACCCAATGTAATATCCCCAAATCCACATTTTGTCATCAGCAGTAACCTTACATGCTCACAACCTCTGTTGAACCTCCTTCTAATTCCCAGCTTCCAGTTGGCCGCTATTTCACCAAGCAGCCCCCCTCTGCTCTGACCCTGATCTAACATTGTGGCCAGACCAGCTCTGTTTACGCCCGGAGATAGCTGGGCTGTAATCAAACACCCTGGCTTGGCTTGGGGACCACAGCAATTTGCAGCTGTGTCCCAGCTGGTAAAGGTGGTTCCTGCAGTTATTTCACCAGCCCCTTCACTTACAGTGAGACCAAGATGTGGAAATTCAGCTGCGGTGTAAATATCTTAAATAAATAGTGCTTTCACCTTCCAAACCAGGTTTCTCAGCTGGCAGTGGTGCCGGTTGTGGAGCAGAGCCATGCTGCCTGTGCATGTGTGCTGCCTGGCTCAGGATTCCCCTCTTTTCCGTCGATTCCAGCTTGCTGCAGCGTAGCTGTAAAATCAAGCTGAACTGTCAACAGTGCTTCCAAGAAGTGAATGCAACCAGCAAAAATTGGGCTGGAAAACAAAATCCATGCTGCTTCCTTCACAGAAAGTTCATGGGAGCTGCTTGCTCTGCCTCTCCTCAAACAGGCTCCTGTAAATCAATGCATTAGTGAGTCCTACTTCTCTGAGCCAACCTTTGTAATGTGCATGCCCGTATAGGGCAGAAAGGCACAGTCATGCTGCCAAAGGCAGAAATACCATAGGATTTTTTTCCTTCCCTCACCAGACCAGAATCTCTCTGTCTCCAAGCTGCACAGCAGATGATCCAGGTTTTGTCCTGGCCTTTAGGGCTTGGTCCCTAATGACAGCAAAGAAAACTCTTCTTGGACAGCAGATCCACACAGCTTTCTAGGCTCTGGCAGAAGGCAGGATCCAGCCAACAACAGCAAATAAATTTGCGCTCCATTTTCTTACTCCCCACTTAGCCACTCTCTAATCATGAGCTTGCTTCCACCCTTGCAGCTTGCTTCAGAGCCCTGGAATTCAGATGTTTTTTCCCTGGAGTCTCCAGGCTTGGTTCCAGCTTGAAATCTCTTCTGCTAGAAGCCATTCCTCCAAGTGCTCCTCAATTACAAGCAGTTTAGCACAGCCTCAGGAGCTGTCAGTTAGCAATGGCGCACTGGCTCCTGGCCTGCCCACAAATATCTGTATTTCACAAATAAAGCAGGTTGATTTAAGCCACCACAGTCTGCAACAGTCTGACAGCTTCCTAAAGTCCTTGCAAAGATAAAACTTAGGCAGTCCTCAGATTTGCAATAAATCATAATGCTCTGTAGACCTTTTAAATAGTGGTCATTGACAAGACAAGCAGGAATGGCTTTAAACCGACAGAGAGGAGATCTACATTAGACATTAGTAAGAAGTTCTTCCCTGTGAGGGTGCTGAGGCCCTGGCACAGATTGCCCAGAGAAGCTGTGGCTGCCCCATCCCTGGCAGTGTTCAAGGCTGGGTTTGACAGGGCCTGGAGCAACCTGGTCTAGTGGAAGGTGTCCCTGCCCATGGCAGGGGGTTGGAACTGGATGAGCTTTGAAGTCTCTTCCAACCCAAACCATTCTATGATTCTGTGAAGATATAGCTAGATTTAGTCCTGTGCTCATAGACAGAAGAGTGGCTAAAGAAAGCGAGCAACCAAAAGGGTTCACAAAATTATTTTACAGAAAAAATTTCAATCCAGATGATATATGAAAAATGTGATTTTTTAAGAAGGTACCCTTCTTTTAAGAAGAAAACCTCACAATGAACATGCTCTGACATCTCAGAAGTCCTTCACCAAAGCAAAAAGTAGAAGCAGTACATTTGTACATTAATTGCATAACCAGAGATGCCTCAGTTTAGGCTTGCACAGACAGTCCTGCCGCACCCACAAGTGTGTTTATTTAAAACACATCAGCCCTGACTACAAGGACTCACCAGCACAATAAAAGAAAAAAAAATGCAAGTCTTTCTTTCTCCTTTTTTTTGTTTGTCTTGTTCTCAAACTTCAAATCGTTGTTTCTGTTACGGGTTCATAATTTTCCCACTGCTTCTGGCAAGCACCAGCAGGTCTCAGGAACTTGTTCTGCAAAAACACAAACTGGGGACTGATCAGTCCAGGGAGGAAACCAAAGGAGGCTGAGGAACCCGTAAGGACAGAAAACAGGTGCCTGACGTGGAACCCTTGTTGTGGAGTGATGAACATCATCTCTTAGCAGAAGCCAGAGGTCTGATTGAAAAACCCAAGCTGTGACATGTGAATTTAGCAGAGCAGAGAAGTTGCTTGAGGCTTCCTAGACTGACCTACTCTGGTCACTGTGGCTGCAGAAGGTTCCCATTGGGCAGCATGGAGAGGACACCAAAGGAGTTGCAGGGGACAAAGAAATGAAGTAGAGTGGTCTTCAATTTTAAATAGTCAGTAACTCACCAAGGTAACCTCCCGACTGGCCCTCACGTGCAACGATGCAAACAGTGGGCAAAGTATTTAGCATCTGCACAGACGGAACATGATGCACACATCCAAAACTCCATAAGGAGACTTTTTTCCTGGTCCTATCACATGCTGTAGGTCAAGGCTGTAATGCAAGGGTGAATTCCACAAGTAACAAAGCTGATATCTGTTGACTCTCACAGTTGATTGTTTTGGAACAATAATTCCTATTTGCCTCCCTGGATACAGAACGGCAACTTGGATTAGCACTGCACAGCCTTGGCCTGAGGACTTGCTGAGTAAGCCCCCACCTCTGCTCTTGAGATCCTCTGCTTTGACATTCCTCCACAGCAGAATGTAGGATATTTCCCAAGCATCGATTTTGAAAAACCACTTCCTTTTCCAGTCCCATAATCAGCTCATCCCTCTTGGGCAAGAGGGCTGGCCATTTAAAACAGTCACTCAAACTCCACTGACACAGGCTGCTGCACTGGTTAGACGCTCCCCAGTACAGGCCAAATTAGATCAGCATAATACAATGTGGAATACAGCAATGATCAGCACAAACATTGCAACTTTGATGTCAGAGATGGTAAGAGCAGCATTTCATTTGACACCAGTCCTATGCCCTAATTCCCAAAACACTCTGATGCTCCTTTGTTTTTTTAAGTTGCCCTTTAGTTTTTGTTCTTCCCTCTGTTTTTGATGCAGGATTTTGAGACCTAGGTGTTTTTAGAAAGGTGAACATTGATCACTGATTTTTTTTTATTCTAGCAAGGCCAAGTGCAGGAGAGGAACAGCACAATCTTGCACTACCTGGGACCTAATCTCCTAAAACGCGCATAAGGCAGGGTGAAAAGAGTATCAGTTCATCTCTCCTAGGGAGCTGAAAGACGTAGCATTTGGCAAGCACAAGGCACATCCTTGCCTGGTGCTTGCCAGGAAGCTGATGAAAAGTTCATCAGATCTTCTCTGGGTCAGAGATTTAAAGTCAGAACTGAAAAACACACAGAGACTAAGTCTGGAATCCCTTTATTGAAAAATTTCATACAAGAATAGTCAGTAGCAAAAATAGTCAAGTATGATAGAGCAACACCACAGACAAGCTCCATTCATTTACAAACTGCCACTGTCTCCACATACTGAGCTTTCCAGAGCCTCAGAAGTATCCTGTCTTGTCAGCGAGTTTCAGTGCAGCACAGGGAGCAAAGTCTGTCTTTATATCAAATCAGATTAGCTCTGAGACAGACTTTTTTTCCTGTGAGAGGTATGAAGGCCCTGGTCTGTCGAGAATCCTGTTTGCAACATAAGGCATCATTCCCTGCTACCCAAGCTCATTCAAAATGCTGACTGAAAGCCTGTAACAAAATGTTTTGCCAATAAAAATCTTTTAGAAAACTAGTTTGCTATATACAGCACAAAACTATCAAAAAGTGACTGTGCCAATTTCCCCTTTACACACATATTATTAAAAAAAAAAAACACGTTAGAATTTCAGATAATATATAACATATTGCATCTTTCTGAAACACTGTGCAGCAGAAGCCCCATACAGTACCTGGGTGGTTACAAGACAGACTAATAGCACCCTTTAGTTCTGCTGTCTTTGATAGCAGCTGCCAAGAATTCGCCTATTGCAGTTTTAGGATTTGGAAAGTAGAAGCTGCAAGATGGTAAACAAAGCATTTATAAATCAGTACCATTTCTTCTCAAGAAGGAAAAAACATCATCACAGGAATGATTAAAAAGATACTACATATTGCTTGCTGCTGCTGTCAGTGAGACAATACAGTTTGACTATTTGATGTCAGTTTTGATTTGAGGAGTACCACTTCACATGTCAGAGAGGTACCTGAAGAATCTGTCAGTCATTTCTGGTCTAATAAGACCATACAGCCAAGGCACAGGAGCAAATAAAACCACAACAGCTTAGTTCATTTACTGAAAAAAACACTGTATGACATGGACACACACAGGGTCGTCAGCCTGCTGTCTGGAAATAATAAACATTGATTGTTCCCCAATTCAATTGTCAGTAATCTGGAAGGTGTTACAAAGAAAAGCAATCACTGTCTTGCCCTCTACTTTTCCAGGCACAAGATCCAAAGCCCCTGCAGCCTTTATGCACAGCTATGCATGCAAGGAGCTGAATCCCCAGGGGTTGAAGACACTACCATATGTGAAACCCACTCTATTTGGTAACTTAATTTCCTCAAATAACTCAGCAAGAACTTACTAACTTTCTGCAGAACCCTGGAGAATACCAGGTATAGGCTTTACATTTGAGGACGTACAAATCAGATGAGTTGCTTCTTCAAGAAAACAGCAGTGACCCATTCAGACACAGCATAGGGATGTTATTTGTTAGGGGGGATTTTTGTTGGCTTTCTTTACCAGAGAGCTGGCAACAGCCAGAGCCCCTCCTTGTACAAAACGTACAAAGTTATCTCCAGCTAAAGGTCCTAGAGCATAAAGTCCTTTCTGCTGAGTGGACTCATAGGTGAATGGGTCAACATCTATGGGATTCCTCTTTGGATTGACTGGTTGGCTGCTGTTCATTGCCAAGTCAATGCCATTATTTGGCAGAAAGGAGAGGCTGGGGTTTGAGCCAGTCAAAACAAGAGCCATGGAAATTTTATAAACTTTCTGGTGGCCATTCTTATCTTGAAAGATACATTTCTTGTCCTTGCCAAAGGATAGCACATGATGTTCAGGAAGGCTAACATAACATTCGTAGGACCCTGCACAAGCAGCTGACTGTTCTTTCATCATCTGATGGACTTTGTGGTATTCAGGGTACATCATTTTGGGGAGTTGGTTAAAAATAAGACCTGGATCACTGACTTTTCTCCGGAAAACATGGATTACTGGAATATTGCAATGGTGAGCAAAGAGAATCGCGTCAGCAGCTGTCAGACCAGCACCTACAATCAAGACTGGATCTGACATGATGCCAATGCTGTTATTTTTTACTGCTTCCTCTAGGGCAGACAGCTGGTGATGGACATAGGAAAGGTTCTCTCCCTTGACCCCAAGCCAAGTAGGACTATCATATGTTCCTGTGGCTAAGACCACTTTCTCAGCATAGATGGAGAAGGGTTCTTTATCACCTTTCATAGTTTTGAAAAAGCCATCCACCTGAAAGACCTCTGTGCTTTTCTCTTTGAAGTTCCAGACTGAGTCATCAGTATTCTCTTGCCAATCTTCTTGTGTGTGGTTGGAGATGCTATCTGCACTCACTTTCCTCACAGAGGTCACAACAGTACTGCATCTGAAATTCTTCTGCAGTCCTTTCTTCACCACATAGTGTTGGTAATATTGAGCAATGTCTTCTGCTGTGGCTCTATTATTTCTGAGGCCTCTGTAATATAACACAAATGAAGGTCAAGCAGTAGTCAAGTAGGAAACTGGAATTTCTTCCCTCTTCCACTGCATGTATCCTAAAGCTATCTATCCTCGAACTACCAGAAAAGACTTATCTAGTTTCCTTAACTTAGCAAAGTTATCACTGGTATATAGAGCTAGCATGGAGGTCAACAAGATGCTAAACAGAGGCAGCTTCCTCTAGAATGAATCTCATCCCTAAAAACATGGTTGCTCGTTTGTGACTTCCTCTCACATCTTGCTTCGGTTCCATTTTTAACTCCTGGACTCTTGAAGACTGTTACACATCAAGAGCAGAAGCATCTCCGCCTGTACAGTAGCTGAGCTGATTATACTTGTCCTCTGTGACAGCAGCAGTAGACACAGAAGTTGGATGACCATGGCTTTTCCAAACTTTATTCAGAACCCATGGTCACTGTGATCCATCTCCCTAGTAGTTGTTAAGAAGGACACATTCCAAGCAGCACTGCAACTTTACCTGAATCCAGAATGGACTTTTACTTGGGGGTGGGAAGGTGTCCTTTCTCTCAATAGAATGATCCATAACAGAGAACTAGCTACATTCAAGAAGTCCACTCCACTCCACATACCCAAACATCTCATGTTTGAAAATAATCACACCATAGGTATCTTACCTTTTCTTTTGCTTTAGCCAGTCTTTGAATGGGAGATCTGGGAGCCCCATCCATTCCCCTCTGCTCAGGGTAACCATAGAGCCCTCAATAGACTGGAACAAAAAATAGTTACTTAATATAAGACGTGATATGCAATTTTGTCATGTTTCATTATGGCACAGATAATGAAATCAGTGATTTCCCCTCATCTGCTCTTGTGCATGAAGCCATCAAAGTTCTCCAAAAAGAACACAAGACTGGAAATATAAATGCATTTCACACTTTTTTCCTTTTAAACTTTTCCCTGTCTATATACATAAAGTCAGATGTGGCTGACTGGCATATTAAAAGAGCTTTTGCCTCTCAGTCAACGCATTTGGCTATCTTACAACACGTAGACCTAAGGCTTCAATTCACATACATGCCAGGCACCTCCAGGAGCATTTCTGCCAAGGACCACATGGGGGATGGCTCTGTCGGTCTCATGCCACCAAGTGAGGACAGATTCTGCTGTTCCACCAAAGTCTGTGTCTGGACGCTGAAGAGTATCAAACAGAAGAGCCACAGGGCTGTGGGATCGTCCCTCCAAGCCTTCAGACAGATACTCCAAATCCTAAAGAGAGGCAGAAGAGATGCTCAAGATGCATGTCCTGCCAGGCAGCAGACTGCTTGTTACTCCAGTGCTTCCAGTCAGTGGTCTTGGTCTTCTGTGAAGCTTATTTACTGGCACACAGATCCTGAGGACCACCACAAGGATCTTAGCAGCAATGCTGGCATTTCATACAGGGGAAATCTGGACAACTAGAAGTGCATTGCTTAAGGCTCATTCTGTCTGTGTGCTTTACTGTGTTGTTATACCGTTTGTCTTTACACAAACCTGGTCCAAAATGGAGATATCTTGTGCCTCTTCCAGTTTCTTCTGAAGAATGGGATGAGGATGAATAGAGTCTCTTTTGAAGTAAGGGATGTAGCCTGACAGCAAGTATGACAGACAGATTCCTGAAGGACCATTCCCTAGAAAGACAATGGAGAAAAACTTATACTCCTGCAGACAGAAATGCTTCTTAATGGGCTTCTCTAATGTACCAACCAATTCAAAGGACACAACATTGCTATGGATACAGGGGGCTTCCTGTTCCAGGTTGACCACTGACCTATTGGGTGGAGTTGGGGAAGTCATTTTACTCTTATGTCCCCTTCTTGTCCTCAGTTGCATCTATTTGAATTACAAGATCTTCAGAAGTTGCTGAAAAGATATTGGGTTAAACAAGCCAGAGGTTAACCTAACCTGGAGCTTGAAGTCTCTAGGATGCTGATTAATTGAGTTATTGCTCATTACTTTAAAGGTTTAGAAACTAGTCCTATACGGACTGGGGACCGCAGCTCTCCTGGATGCACATTTCACACCCGTGCAGAGTAGTTCATGGTGCACAGGATACAGAGTAAATCCAGAAAAGAGAGTTACTATTGGAGAGAAGGGGAAACAGCTCTGCTCAGTGACAAGTCCCATCGAATAAGGGGTTTCTGGCAGTAACAGTTTTGACTAACAGGTCTTGGGGACACTTTCAAATGGGAATCAGCCCCACCATGGTACTGCAGGCAGTGTGTTAAGGAAAAAAGTCACTCTGCCATGCCAAGACAGCTCTCCAGAATACAGCCCTTTGAACAGATTGCTGGATCGCTGAACTCCTGCTGACCACCCAACAGCCAGTAGAAAAAACTTGATCTATGTGACTCCAAAGCCTAGTGAGAGCAGCGCATGGAAAGTTTTCCCATGGCTGTTCTCCAGCATGTTTAATATTTTACAGTGTCTGCATAACTAGGTGTCAGCCTCTTTGGCTGCTCAGGCTTTGCTGCTCACCAGTATGTGACTAACCACCATTACATAATGCAGTGACGATGTAGGGGAGGAGAGCTGAAGTGACACAGCAGCCTGCGTTGACACATTGCCCATGCTGCATGTGTGAGTGACTGGGGCAAAGGCTGCTGCCTGTGGATCTGAGATAGAGGGAGGCTCAGGCTGTAAAGCTTAACAGTGAGCTGAGTTATGTGCAAGGCAGTATGTGTTATAGCTTGGGCCAAAGTCTGAGCAAGAACCAGCAGCTGCAGGTCAGTGTCTGGAATATTCCACTTGTAGGAAAGTTATCCAAAACCAACAGAAATCAAAAGCAAACTAAGATATAGGTGTAGTAAAATATAGTATTTTTCAGGTTACTACTTTGCTTTAGGAAGTACAAGAAAGTACCTAATCTAAACTGAGTCACCTGAGTGCACAACACTCAGCAACACATGGGAGGATTTACTGTGAACCACATCTGTTTGATATGGACAGTCACATGTACAGCTGCCTCTAGGGCTCAAACTATTCTAGAAAGCAACTGCTTTCATGAGGTTGCCAGCATAGCAGAGGGACACCACAGGCTTCCTGGAGCAGGGCCTGGGGAAACAGGGCCTGAACCTGTGTGCAATGTCCCTGCAGTGAAACAGCTGAGCTGGTTCAGCCCAACAGCCTCCTCAGAGTGCACATCTGCACACCAGTGCTTCTGTGGCTTTAGTGAGATTTCCACACCAGATCACTGGGTAGCACTAGGGATGTACCAAAATAGCCTCTCTCCCACCTAAAGGCTTGTACAACTGGGCAGTACGAAGTCTCTGTCAAGCTAGAACCTGCTGGTAGTCGTAACCCTGTCAAACTTGCTGTTAGTGATTTATGTGGTGCTCTAACTTTGAACTACATCTCCTGGGTACTATAAATTAAGCTACAGATAAGGAAGGAACCACCCCTAAAAGGCATTTAAACACATGCTTAGATAAACAGAGTCCAACACCTGCACTGGAGCACAGATTACAGTCAGTCACAGAGGTGAATGCACTGACATCACTACTTCTGATTTGCTCAATCACCTCACATTACAAAGCTCCCCTCTTGCAAAGGAAACAAGACGGTTACTACAGAACCCGCTTTCTAAACCGGTAGAAAACCCACAGATTTTTACCATTCTATTAAATTTGTACAAAATCAGTGCAACTGACTTGCATTTTAACAGAACTCTGAAAAATTTCAAGAAATTTTAACAGCATCTGGAACACTTTCTACACACACAATGGGGAAAAAAATAATCAAACAAACCCATCTCCAATCCAAGCACTATGGGTCATTACTTCATAGTAAGTTGATCAACTATCTGTAGTAAAAGGTTTCAAACCCTTCTAAACATCTATCAGAAAAAACAGGCCCAGCTGAACTGATGCCCAAAAGGTCATCAATTTTACTGTTTAAAGAGAGGTGTGTGTTTTAGTGTGTCAACTACCTGGTCCCCTACTTCCCACAACTCTTAGTGGTCTTTTAGTACTAGAGGGAGTTTGGCTGTTAGGGAAAGGATGCAGAAACAATGGTCAGACATTTCTGGTTTGAATAAGTACACTTAGAACAAAAGCCGAAGACACCAAGTCCAAAGCAACAGCAGCATGAGAGAACACAGTAATGCTGGCATGAGAAAGCTTACCTATGATCACAACAGGCAGTGGCTTGAACCCACTCTTATTTTGGGGTTTGGTCAATAATGCGTACATCTTTTTATCTGGAAGCATTTAGGTCCTGGAGTCTACCTGTTAAAACAAATAAGCTTTGAATTATTTGCTTTTTTTTGACTAAAAAAACCCATGACTTTCTACAGCCCACAAACCCAGGTGAATCTAGAGTATTATCCTTGCATTACAGACAGTCACATTACACTTCCACACTCAAGATAGGTCTCCTTATCTTTTTCTCCTCCTGCCCCCAAAACCAAAGGATGATTCCCTGATTATATATCACCAAAAGAAAAAGAGAGAGAACCCTTATCTTTTGCTTCCACACATAAATTCCAGTCCCTCCAGAAGAGCTGGCAACTTCGGAAGCCTTCTGGCTACAGTAACTGAACTATTGCAGCTTGTTAATGAAAACTTCATTTTTGCCCATACTGTGTGGAAAATGGTCATAATTATCATGAGCAGTTCATACTTTTTAAAGCAATTTGTGCATTTAGTCAAGACTGCTGCCCAAAGGCTGGAAATTTCACTGCATTTTCAAATATGTACCATTCCATCACTGCAGAGTTTTTTGAGAAGTGCTAGTTTAGTTCCTGAACCTTCTTTGCTAGTTTTCCAGAAAATAGAGCTCTTGGTTTGAACAAGTAAATAACAAGAAGCCTTGAGACAAATTATACATCATAATTACTTTAAAGACTAAGGTGTCATTAGAGTGTAATCTACAAAACTAATGTAATAATTTTTAGATATTTAATTAATTTAATAAAAAAAAAAATCAAAGTTTTTTTGTCATTCCTGCAGGGATCCCATCATGTCAAATAACGACTTTAGTTTTCTAGGGAATTCAACTATACCATCACTAATCTAGAGAAGTTAAAGTTATTTTTAACAGAATAAACATGAGATTTTTGAAATCCAGCATAAGCTTTTATGTTATTCTACAGAAAACAGATCCTTTTACAAGGACATTATTCTCATTTTGGAAAGTTAAGTGAAAAAAAAAAAGTGACTGAATAGCTTGACTTTGTTCAGTACAGCATGCTCTCCACACCCTTTTCAGTGCAGAAAGCTCTTTGGCAAGCACACTGCACACTTCCATAAGGTCTGGCACATCACTGCCTTTGACACAGGTATTGCAGCAAATGTCATCTTACAAGTGTAATGTTTCACTTTAAGCCTGACATTTACATGACCAACAACTACAGTAATGTGGTAAGACCCTGGTGACTGAATGAGCACACAGAAACCCACAGGTCAGTTCAGGACTTGCAGAATCCCAGGCTTCAGGAGGAGTCTTGTAAGTGGATTTGCCTGCAAGAATGTGAAATTCTAATACACACCAATATACAGCCATCACTGGGCTAGACCCCATGAAGACCCAGCTCCATCCACGTAAAGAGGCACAAAATAAGGCTTACAAGCTGAATTCAAAACTAGTAGCTTTGTCCAAAGTTTTGGATCACAGTTTAGTAATATTTACTGGTTGCCTATTGCCACTTAACTAAACATTAATCTAAGACTCATACACTTTGCCTGACAGGGCAAGAACCACTTAAAAACATAATAGTGCTTTCAAATTCAAGTCACTTCAAGCATCTGGCTTTGAAGAGAGTTGGATTTCAAGAAAACTTAAGTTCCCAAGGTAACCTAAATTACCTTAGACTCATAAGTAGGTGCATGCACTACAGAAGATGAACACTTCTGTGTGTTGTGTCCATAATGAGGCATGCATAATCCCTTTACAGTGTATTTAATCCAACCCTGGTAGCTGCAGGAGCACAGCTTAACTGCCCAAGTATTCCCCCAGCCTTTTGGGTAGGTTCTGCCACATGAACCAAAACCTGCACAACCTTCAGCAGATTTGTGTGTAAATTTACCCCCCAAGTAATTCCCTATCACAAAGCTCTAGAGTTAAAATTGGTAGAGTTCAGCCCTAGCACATGGGAAGGTCAGAGACCAAAGGAACAAGACACTGGGGTGACCAGTAAGGTATTCCCCTCAAACCAGCTAAACCAGAGTACTTATCTGAAGGGCAGCAGGGATTTCTTCTCCATGGTAACAAATAAATCCCTCTCCATGGCTGTACTACACAGGAAGACAAGTTCTTATTAATATTTCCTAACAGAGAGTACACATCTTATTTCTGTGAAACTATTGGGAGTCTGGAAGAGGGAAGCAAAATCTCTGGAAGCAATCTTCCAGGTTTCTGCTTCATAGCACTCTGCAGCAGCATGCATGGAAAAACTGTATGCATTTGGTAGACAGTGGTAACCCAGCAACATCCATGAGATTTTTGCTGGAAGCAAGGACTGCTGAACCAACCCAATACAGCATGTATTCCAGGAGAGCAGCAAAGCCAGCATATAAATAACAAGCGTTCAAATCCGTTTGTAAGACTTGGGTGCAAATCATGTTGTTGTGTGCCAGCCTTTTTCTGGGTGAGCCTGAAGGGGACAAAAAGGCAGAAGACAGTAGAAGTCAGCCTAGCAGTCCTGTTTGCTTTAGAGGAAAGGTTGCCTTGGCTCCTTGCCATTGCACTATGCCACCCTATCCCACCCTGATAGTGAGCAAAGCCAGCAGCCACTAGCTCAACAATAACATCGTCATTTCACCCTCCTCCTTCTCCTCCTCCATTCTCTACCTTCTGACACATGAAGAAGGAGCATTTGCTGTAATTAAACTGAACCTTAATGGCTAAAGGAGCACAATTGTTAGTCTGTGAAATTACTTGATCCATACACACACATAACCACTTTTAGCCATAGTTTTAGTCAGGATCTGGGTCCCCAAATGACCATATCAGTGCTGCATGCTTTGTTTCCTCAAGTTTTGACACTGGACAATTCTACCTACACGAGATCAGCCATGAGAGATGCTTCTGTTTATTCTGGCATGTCCCTACACACAGAAAAAGTCCCTTCCACAACCTATAGCTACCATTTCTCAAATTCATAGAGATGGTGGATAATACTTCTTTTTTAAGTAGAAAGTAAACCACATGCTGAACCTGTTTGTAGCTATTCCCACCTTGTAGGCTAAATGTTTGACTTCTGAGGGTAAAACTGAGCTCAGAGCATTTCAGTTTCAGACCAAATGTTCATTTTTACTGCCATTTGAAGTAAAGGTGGATTTTTTTTTTTTACTCTTAGAATCAAGGGACCACATGTACCTCAATAACCTGTACAACTAATACAGTTCGGCAGATGAAAGCCTGTTCTTGCAGAGGTTACTGGAAAGCATAGAGGACATTGAAGTTCATTTCAAATCTATACAGAATTAATTACCAGCAAGATAAAACCTGAGCTAGCAAGAAACCCAAGACTGCTCTTTTCACCCTGCTTTTATGTAGAGTAGGCTGCTGGGCATTCACAGTCAACTTAGTGACATTCATCTTAGGCTGGACTCCTGCTTTAGGCTTCCTACTTTAAATGAGTGTCTTTTTTCCTCCTCTTCATCTGGGAGCATGCTGCAAGCTTAACAGTTATCTCTTTGTTGATTGCAAAGCATTTCAGTGTCTATGGGATACTGGCTTGTAGTTCTGGCTTGGTACAGTACCCAGCTCATTCTGGGCCAAGTTCTCCATACCTTCTTAACACAGCCCTAAGCCCAGAGGGACTATAAGTCACAAAGTCAGTCAGTGTGGCCCCTAGTAGCTCCAGGCTGCACAACTGAATCAGATTTTAAGTGAGTAAAAGAAAAAGCAAAGATGCATTTAGCAGGACAATGACATTAAGTGATCTTCAGCAGAAATAAAAAGCCAAGTTACAACAGTCATGTGCAAGCAGTTCTCCCTAGGACATCAATGAAACTTTTGCTCAAGTAAGGACCACCAAATGTGACCTGTACATGGGGAGAGCTTGAGAGAGCAGGGCATTCAGTATATAAATAATGGAAGAGACTGAAAGAGCTACTATGACAGTCAGGTTTAAACAGGAACAATTGTAAGAGAAAGGCAACAGTTTTCTCCAGCTTCATTTCTTCATCAACCCATTCATTTCACCAGCAGCTTCTAAAATTTCATCTTTTTTTCAGAAAAGAGCAGAAATCTCAATAGATTTTACATTCTATACTTTCCTTCAAGTTTCAGAAATTTCCCTGCTCCCCACCCCTTGCATCTTATATGCCAGGCCGGTTACCCCACAAACACAATTAAAGTATGTGGAAAAAATTCAGCTTCACAATAGTACCCTCCTACAAACACCCCTGTGATATTCAGAAAAACAATGTTACAGTGTGCCAGACAGAGCTCTCTACGTTTACTTACAGCCTTCTTACCTTCAGCAGTATGTCTGATGAGAAGAAGTGGGATCTTTAGGCAAATGCCTGTACAATCAGGAAAGCCAACCAAACTACAAGCCTCAAATCCTGTCTCTGCTCTAAGGCAGCTGTTTAAATATAGTAGGCTACCAGCAATGAGGAGAGGAGGGGCTGAAATGAATGGAGGCGGAGCAAAGAAAACAGTTATAAGCATGAGTCAGCAGAATATTTCCCTTCCCAGCTTGTGAATGAATTAGGTAGTGATCTTCCTCTTAGTAATGTTCAGCTGACTACGTAACTACAGCAAAAGCAGGCTTATAGGAGCCATGCATGGCAGAAGTCCTGCCTTGAATAAATATCTTCCTTTTTAAACTTAAGGGTAAATTAAAACCTGAAACTTCATAAAATCCAATGCTTCTTGTTGCAGAACTGGGGTTTTCCTCTGTATTAAAACAGCTAGTTATAATCACAGGTGGGAATAAAAGTGATAGGATAGCACTGCATGCTTTCTCTGAAGGCAGTGATCTTTTTGACCACAAAAGGACAAGAAACTGTGATTACTTTCTTCCTACTTTGGACAGTTTGTGGTTTTATTTTCATTTTATTATTACATAATAGATACAGTGGGTGTCAAAATTCTAATTTTTTCTTCAGTGAGATGAAGTCTTACAAACCTATTGCACAGTAGCAATAAAAGGAGTTAGACTACTTCCTGTAAAACTTAAAAAACACGTTGGATGAGAATATTGGTATCTTACTCAATGCAGTGGAATAATCTATTAAGGTTGCTAAATTTAAAGTGCCCTTAACAAATGAAATAAAGTTGTGCCAAAGTGTTGAGTTCAAGTCTTAAGTAAAGCATATTCTCATCTCTGAGGCTACTAGTTCCAGGGAATCAGGAGGACTGCTGATACTCAGTTAAGATGCATACTTTCAATCATGTGACATAAAAGATAAAAACAGTTCATGAAAAGGAATTCTATCCTCTTCTGACCCACATGAAAGCAGGATACTTCATAATATATTTTAATTCCACCAGAGTAAGTTGTTTTAATAAATATGAAGCCATTGTTTCATTTTGAATTTAAACTAACACTGATCCCTCTGAAAATCTGACTTGGTAAATACATGTCAGGCTGAGGAATGGGTTTTTTTAGGTCTCTTTCAAGTTGCCTGGGCCTTTGTTTACACAGAGCTTTTAAAGAACTCATACTCATTTTTTTGACAGAAGGCTTTTATATGCATTATTCAGATATTCATGGGCAGGTAATTAATGTATTCATGTTGGTGAAGCAAAAAAATTAAGCTTCCAGAGAAACTACAACGTTTATTTGGTTAGGTGATTTAAGACTGACCTGTAACCAGTTTTTTAAAGAACACAGATGTTAAAGTCCATACTTGCTCATACCGTTGATACAAGAGGGAACCATACAATGGTTTGGCCGGCTTTATAAGCAGTAAAATTGGGAATACTACCTGTGTGTGCAAACCTTCAGAAATAAAGTTGTCCTCTATGTACAAGGAGGAGATCCTCTCCATTTCCCACTAGAACCTGGAAAACTAGAATCTCTATTACCTCTATAAATAAAGCCAGGATGTCTTTCCAAAAACCATAAGCTCTAGCATCTATTTTGTACACAGCACAATTCTTTAGAGGAAAATGTGCATGTACAACAACAACCCACCGTCCTTTAGTTGCTTATACAATAAGATGATCGAATTCATCAATTTGGGGGCTTCTTTTGTATAGGTATCTCAACACATACACCCCATGGAATATATGCCAATGTTACTGTTTCTTCTTGTGTACCTTATCTAGCAACAAATAATTCAGCTCAACACTCTTGCCTGAGCAAACTTTTCAAAAGAGGAAATAATTGTGCAATCTGCACTTGGCTGGCAATGAGCCCTTGACCTACAAATTTTTGTGATTCACTTACATTTTCTTCCTGATTTATTGCAAACAGTATCATTCAGATTAGTTAAGTGTCCATGTAAAAAGCTTATATAGAGATTTCCAGCATGACTTTGCACTATGTATTCATAGCTGTCAGAGTATGCGTTTCTAGCTTCTTTCTGTGCACAAACTGACAAAAACATTTTCTTGGTACACAAATTTAAAGGGCTTCAGATGGCTTTAGATTTGTACAGGAAAAAACCTCTCCTAAACTATCGATCTACAGGCTCATTCATTGACATATATTGCACTATATTCCAGCTGAGATTCAAGGAATCCACACCTCTATCACGGGTTTAAGTGGAAAGTGCCAGTAAAATGAATTATTTGCAAGGGTTTCTTCATTGTTCTTTAAACTTTTTCCTTTTAAAAATAAAATAGTAAAGCTTATGCTCCAAGGAACATTATCCCCAAACCAGATACTAAGCTAGATGAGCAAGACAGCATCAAATGAGCCAGCTATGTGCCATTGTAACTAAGAAGGCAAATGATATCCTCGGGTGCATCAGGAAGCGTAAGGCCAGGAGGTTGAGAGAGGTGATCTTTTTCCTCTGCTTTAGCCTGGTGAGGCTACATCTGGAGTCGTGTGTCTGGCTCTGGGCTCCCTAGTTCAAGAAAGACAAGGAGCTACTGGAGAGGATCCAGCAGAGGGCTATGAAGATGATGAGGGGACTGGAGCATCCCTCTTATGAGGAAAGGCTGGGAGAGCTAGGCCTGTTTAGCCTGAAGAAGAGAAAACTGATAGGGGATTTTATCAATGCATACAAATATCTTAAGGGCAAGTGTCAAGAGGATGGGACCAGAGCCTTTTTCAGTGATGCCCAGCAACAGCATAAGGGGCAATGGGTATAAACTAAAACACAGGGAATTCCATCTGAATATGAGGAAAAACATCTTTACTTTGAGGGCGACAGAGAACTGGAACAGGCTGCCCAGAAAGGTTGTGGAGTCTCCTCTGGAGGTACTCAAAACCCACATGGACACAATCCTGTGTAACCTGCTCTAGGTGAATCTGCTTTAGCAGAGTGTTGGACTAGATGATCTTCAGAGGCCCCTTTCAACCCCAACTATTCTGAGAGTCTGTGAAAAGCAAAATAATACTAATGCAGCAGCTTGTGAAAAGCTTCTTTCATTATAAAGTTGGTTTGGGTTTTTTTAAATGGGACCTATGACATTAAAGACTGAGAATGTAAAGGATTAATTGTATCTTTGTCTCTACTTGCAAAAACATAGAGCATGGAGGTAGAGCATTACATTTGCTTTTATATCAGCAATCATTGCACATAATATAATGGTAGGTAGGCAAATCATCCCCTATCAGATGAAGAATTCAAAATGCTGCACCACTCAAACCCCACCTGATAAGGTTTCATCCCACAGGAAAGAGGGGCAGACTTCACTGGTAGTCATTCATTCCACCTTCAACTCATACTCTTCAGTTCACAGTGTCAGCAATCCTGAGTTCATTTGTTGCCACGGTCAGTTTCCGCTTTAGGTTAGGTAGAATATAGTTCTCAGAACTCCAACAAGCTGATGCTGGTTTTTACCAACATAAAATTTGAAGAGCATGCCAGGAAGCATGGACAGAGCCACAGCACTGTTCTGAGGTAACATTTTGCACCTGAACCACACGCTGTAGCCAAGAAATTTCCTTGTTATCAATTGACTTTTCACCTCAGATCATTAAGATCTACCCATCCATGTCCTACGCATGAAACCTGTCAGATAGCTCTGATTTAGGGGAGTTTAAGCAGTAACACACCACTGGTATCAGAATTCATTGCTGTTAGCTCTGCTGCTGACAACTCACAGCAGAACACTTCTTACAGTACCTCTTTAGCATCCATCCACCCTTCCCTCTAGCAAGCCTTAAGGTGTACCATCATTCTGTGCAAATTATCATGACATACTACAATGCTTCACATTTTAGAACTTCAGGTTCTGCTGTTTTTTCATAATTAGAACAACACTCCCAAGTGTGATCCTCCACGGGCCACAGTAGTGCTTTGATGCTTTGGTGTTTCTTTCAAGTATGGTAAAACACATACATAAATTCTGCGTATTTTCTGCCTAAGAGAACATTAAATGCTTCACCTACTCCCAAATGCAGATTATTTAATCTAGGGCAGAATCTGAAATTCAAATGTTAAAAAAACCTGACCAAGTGTTTTGGGTCCGTATGATCTCTGTGCAGTACCTAAAATTCAGCTTTGCTCTGTTGCTACCTAAAGCATCTCTACCTTTTTCTCACAGGAAAACCTCCACTGACAAAACTGTATGTTAGCTTATTCATCAAAACTAGAACCCACATATTTAACAATAATAAAGATTTTGACATCAATACTGGAAGATTTTATCTGTTTTTTTTTTGCTTCAACTAAAAAAACCCCACATTTTTCACCAACACCACAACCTGGACCCACATCAGCAAGATGTTCCTTGTAGATGCCCTGGCAGCCCCAAATCAGAAGCAGCAAGATATGGCCATGCCACCTCTGACAGGAGCTGCATATCTCCTATGATAGTATGTTACTTGCTCTGCTAAATGGCAAAGGTAAAAAAGCCATGGGGAAGCCCAGATAATTTCGAGGCTTGACAAAAGGAGCAGCTTAGGCAAATTTGCAAGTGTGACACCCAGCTCTGCTCCCAGAACTTGCGACTTCCTACATGTGTTTGTGCTTTCACATGGCTTTCTCTAAAGAAAGATTTGGTCTGGACTGTGTATCCTACTTTCCCGTGCCCCAGCCAAGGCTGTATTTGTTCTGTGTGCATACTTCTTGCAGTGTTTAGGCAGCTGGGTCCAAGGGGACAGAAATAAAGGTTCACCGCACCCATTTGTTATTCAAAGGAACATTGACCTCCCAGTCAGATAAATGATTGAAATGGTTCTGTCTGGTTAACCTGGAAAATTGTTTGAGGAAAGTAAAAAGCAAACCCCTACATTTTGCTGTAACTATTTTTAAACAGTGAATTTTACTGCTGCTCTCAACTATTTTGATATCATTTTCTGTTCTAAGAGCATTTTCTTCCTAAATCAATGAGACTAATACAAATATTTTCACCACCCTTTATTGTCTAGAGGTATCAACCATTTCCACCTGTGTCTTGAATATAGCCGTTTAGAAATAAACCTGGGGGCTTGAGAATCAGTCATACTCTCCAGGAGGGCTCTGAAGCTCTCTGCATTCATGCAGCCATACTCTCTGGC